TGAAAGTGTCTGGAAATTCTGAGAGACTATTAGGAGGCCACTTTTAGCGCCTTCCCCCCCGAGGCTGGGTCCTGCATGAGGCAGAGAACACCAAGCCTCATTCCTACCTCGTCTCAACATCTTTAGGTGATTGCGAAAGTGAAGGTTTCCCAAGGTGCGCACAGCTGGCTTTGCATGGAAGATGACAACACTCCTTGGGTGGCGGTCCCTCTGCCCGTGCCACCCCCACCCAGGTTTGCAGTAACCACGGGATCTGGCACAGGAGCGGAAAAGGCTCCCAGTTGGCGGTTATCTAGGACCCATCAGTGACTTATCTAGTTATTTAGGACTGCTCCAACCTCATTGCCTCAGCAGACATAAGTATCTGGATGAGCGGTAACCCTCTCTTGTAGAAGTTTTCTCTAGCTGGGTATGGTGGTCACTGGGGTCCCAGCTACTGGGGAAGCTGAAGCAGGAGGATTGCTTGGACCTTAGTTCAGGGCCAACAGGTGTAGCTCAGTTAGTAATGTGCTTGTCTACTGTGCATGCATGAGGCAGACTAATTCTGGATTAAATCCAGCACACTTGGATAAAGAAGCACACAGCTGTAATCCCAGCACTTGGAAGATAGGGGGATCAGGAGTTCAAGGCCAGCCTGGGCTACATAGCGAGTTGGAGGCTAGCCTAGGGTACATGAGACCCTGTCTGACCGAAGTGAAATAAAAAGGGAACATAAAAGAAGCACCCTTCAAGGCTTGCCCTAAACTGAGCAGACAGATCTGGAGAAAGGACATGGTGACACCACTTGGTCAAGTGAGAGCCACTGCTCTCAAAGCAAACAGTCTTAGACATGTGGATCTTTGAGTCAAAGCCTGATCCGGGCTTCCTTTCCTGCAGTGAATATGGGCTTAAGAAGCACTAAGGAATGTATGTTCCTACGACACGGGCTGAGGCCTGATGCATGAATCACCATAAACGATGTTCTCTCAATGGTTGCTAAAAGAAGTCTCCCTCCCTCTGAACCACCTCCTTCCCCCGTCTCTCGCCCATGCAGCCTTCCTGCTGTACCCCACTCCCTCTTATCCAGCAGGCTCCCCATCACTGTTTTTAATATTGTCCCCAGTGTTTTTTTATTTGATTGTATTTGTGGCACATGACATCCGTCAGCTGTGTTCTCCCTCCAAAGGTGGCCCAGCAGCTTCTGGTCGTGTTCTCCCCAAGAAGGTGTTTAAAGCTTAGGCAGTAGGTGAGAACACACTCTCTGTCCCACTTGGTAAGGCTGCCTCCTTTTACAACGGCAAGAAAGACTCCACAGGCCCACGGGAGTTGCTTTGTTGTGCTTAACAGATTTTTCTAAAAGCAAGAATATATTTTAAGGGCTGGAGAGATGGCTCAGCAGTTAAGAGCACTTACTGCTTTTGTAGACTGGGGTTCAGTTCCCAGGATCTACATTGGGTAGCCCACAGCCAACCACCTGTAACTCCAGCTCCCAAGGATCCAGTGCCTAGAGCCTTCATGGGCACACGCGTGCACACACATGCGTGCACGCACACACATATTCTTTCAAGACAAAGTATTACTAGATAATGGCCTTAGCTTTGTGGCCCTCCTGCCTCAGCTTCCTGAATGTTAGAATTACAGGCAATTATGTATGTCACTATTGTGACAATTATGTATGCCACTATGCATACATACAGAGAGACAGACAGACAGACATATGTGTGTGTGCCCAGTCTCATAGTCTCATATATGTGTGAATTATTGAATTGAATTACTAAACCTAACATTTCTCTAGCTGGGTGTGGAGATGTACATGTATGTGTGTGTGTGTGTGCGTGCGCGTGTGCTGTGTGCGTGTGTATGTGTGTGTACAAATAATTTTTAAGTTAAGGACCCCCTTATTCTAGGGTACTTCTTCCACTAATGGTTGTTTTAGGAATTAAGTCAGGTCCTTCCGTAGTGAAAATGTTGGGTCTCTACATCATTAATTATAGTGGATCATTAATAAATATCTACCAATTTTGAAACTTTTCATGTTTGAGCAGAACAGTTATAATGTTGAAACTGGTGTGTTGGTAGCATAAAGCAGGGCCACTGTGGCCGCCACTGGCAACTCCTATCTTGTAGACAGCAATAAGAGAGATATTTATCTCCCCGCCATGCTTCCCAGAAAAAGAAGCGTGGTAGGATAGAAAGCAGGAGCTTCTCATTTGGTTTCTGACTCACCCACTGACTGGGAAGTGTTCGGTTCAGTAATTCAATTCCTGATATTGCTGCCTCCCTCCCAGGGTTATTACATGCCTCCAAAGGGTTTGTGGGTGAAGGCTCTCAGCAGAGCACCATGGGGTGTGCTCTTAGGTACTTAAGATGTCCACAATGAAGGCGTTACTCTCATGTCCACTTTGTACATAGATGGACACGGGCTACCCTAAGGTGGGCACATTTGAGAAGCAAGCTAGCAGGAGCAAAGAGATTGAGAAGAAAATAATTAATTAAAATAACTTAATTAATTTGTCAACATCATTACCCAGGTGCCAAAGGGAATTCACATCCTGGCCCACAGAGAGCACCTCATTGGCTGACACCACACTGTCACCAAAGATGGCTTTTAAAATGTGCTTGCCATGTTTCAGAACACTCAGGCAAGGTGTGTGTGCAAGAAGGATCGTCCACTCCTAGTTAGGTCGAGCCTGCTGGTGTCACGGGTCGTTGTGATTTTTAGTTACTGAAGTCCCTGGGCTTGTTCTGGATGTCACCTATTCCTTTCATTACAGGGTAAATCACTGTTTAGTCAGAGATGGCCTGGAAATCAGGAAGAAACTAGAGCTACATGTGTGGGTGCACCCAGCCCTGGTGACGGCCCCGAATGAGTCATCCTGTTCCTCTCTACCTCTTAGGTCGGTGGAATGTAGATGCAGAACAACTACCTCAGATATGTGGAGATATTTTGTTTGTGCTTTAACAAATAAAGCTTGCCTGAAGATCAGAGTGCAGAGCTAGCCACACTAGTTAGCCCTAGAGTCAGTTGTGGTGGCAAATGGAAGGGCCAGAAAGATGGCTCAGAGGTTAAGAGCACTTGCTGCTCTTCCAGAGGACCTGAGTTCAATTCCCAGCAACCACATGGTGGCTCACAACCATCTGTAATGAGACCCGCTGCCCTCCTCTGGTGTGCAGGCATGTGCCATCACAGCTGGCTCTAGGGCTAACCAGTGTAGCTAACTCCGCACGCTGATCTTCAGGCAACCTTTATTTGTTAAAGCACAAATAAATATCACCACACAAGTATGTATCTATCAAGCTAGCTGTTGGAGAATCCAGGTTCCTCCAGCTCATGCAGCAAACAGAAAAGCTTCTGATAACTTCGCGTCTCGACAGACGCGAATGTGTACTTTCGAGACTGTTAAAGGCAAAAGAAAGCACCAAGTCCCTAAGCCATCTGTACGTGGGACCCTCCGCCTCCAGTTCTGCTTCCTGGTTCTCTCTGCACCTTGCTGGTTCATTTTAGTAACTTATATGTTTTAGAATCATTTTACTTTCATTTCCTTGCTTATATTTTCAGACGTATCATTAGTACTTGCACACACACGCATGTGGTAATTTTGAAATCAAATCCATGCCTGTAATTGCCATGCCCTGTTTATTCTTAATTTTGCATTGTTCAACCTTTTTTAAGTTTTAGTTTTCTGTTTATTTGGCTTTGTTTTTTTAAATCTTGCTTTTTTATTAATTGTGACATCTTTAGGTCTAACGATCAAACCAGCTTGTTTCTCTTTCATCATCTTTTTCTTTATTGAATCCCTTCAACTTTTAATTTTTTTTTCTTGAGCTAACAGCGATTCTCAGGCTTCTCTGCTTGCTGGGAGCCTTGGAATCTGGAGTCTCTTTGATGCGTCCTGCAGACTCTGAGCTGAGTGCTCCCGTCCATTCATCACAGTGCTGTCTCTAATTTCTCCTTTGATTTCCTTCCATAAATTACTCTTGAGCTAGAGCTCCAGGAGGCCTTAATATTTCCCTTTCCAAGGAAGTTTTATTGAGATATTACTTGTGACCTAGTACTGGTGAGATTTCTGAAGTGTTCTGTACAAATTTAACCATCAATGCTTTGTGCTGTTATTTGAGAATTGCATTTGAATGTGAAAACCATCTAGTTCTGTGCCTGAATGTTCAAACCACCTCTCTTTCCGGTGCTTGGTTCATCAGTTTTTAAGTGAGAAGCCTGGGAGCTCCCTGCTCTGAGCTTGGGCTTCCCAGATGCCCCCCACTTGGGATGCTTTTTAATCTAACCCACATCACAATGCTCGCTCGCTTGTCCTGAGATTCTGTTTTGGTCTAACTACATCAATGCCTTTTCCTATTTTTTCTTATTGATACTATACTATGTTTATTTCCAGTTATGCCACCCTGTAGCATTTAAGTCCCTTTCAAGGTACCATATGGGTGGTTATACGATTTCCCTAAATCTAAAAGTCTGTCTTTTAATAAGGGAGTTTTAAGTCCTTCGTGTGATGCCTGTTAGCATATTTGGGTTTCTCCCTGACAGTTATTTTTGTTTCCTGCCTAACATGCTTCTCAAAGATCATCTCCTGGCCACCTTTTCTGTTACAGTCTATCCAGTGGGGCTGGTGTGTTTGAGTTTGTGTGTGTGTGTGAAAGAGAGTGTGTGTCTCGGTGTGTATGTGTGCGTGCATGTGTGTGTTTGTGCATGTGAGTGTGTGCGTGCATGTGTGTGTGTGTGCGTGTGTGTGTCTGCGTCTTTGATAGAAGGTGATTTAGAATTTCTATATCCCACTGCTCTACTTTTGTTACCTAAAGCAGAATATTTAATCCTTGCCGCTATTAGGAAAATGTGATTTTATTCAGAATTTGTAATTTGCCCTCCGCTCAAGATAAAACCCTGAGCACATTTTTACGTGTTTTTGATTTCAGAGGACTCCTCTTGCTCTCAGATTGCTCTTTTTACACTGGCCTGTTTGTTTTTCCTATGCGGTATATTTCTAAAGATTTTTATTTCCTTTCTCTAGGAAGGGAAGAAAACATATGTGCTTGGTCTGCCATCTTGAACCAGAAGTCTGAAAGAGGGTTCTAAACGCTGCTCACCAGAATCTCTTAGAGGGAGGATGACAGACCACCAAAGCATCTGCACCATAAACATTTGCATGAGACGCGTGAGTTTCCCCACAAGCACCAGTCAGAGAGACAAACCGGAAGGATGGTTCGTGCTGGGGTACAGTGAGGGCTGAGCAGAGGCTGGGTGGGGGGCTGTGTTTGTACTGGTGTCCACAGTCCCACATGCTTAGCTGCCACTGTGCACATGGAACTATTAGCAAATGAAATTAAATACTTCAGTTGCCTGGTAACTAATCCAGTCTAAGAAAGAAGCAAAAATAGAATACATAAATTTAGAACTTTTAGGCCACGTGCCAACAAAATATTCTCGCTTGTATCCTTTTATCTGCAACTTGAATGGAAGACAGTATATTTTATTGTCCAGGAGTGTGCGTGGGTGTGTGTGCGTGTGTGTGCATGTGTGTGTGTGTGTGTGTGTTGATATTCTGTGCTAAAAGTGAATTCCCCTCAGTGGTTGAACATGCGTGAGACATGGTCTAGCTTCCAGGGGCAGAGCCACACTGGCCCTCAGAAGCCCAGATAGACAATACTGATGACTCTGGGGTTTGTTTTTCTGACATAATTAAAAAGCCAAAGGCTTTACATGATTATAATCCCTTCCCCTGTTATCCTATGGGAAGAAAAGCAGAAATCATCTGTTTAACTTAATTTCATATAAAATAAAAATATCATTTTTCTTCCCAGTTTTCCAACAAGACACCAAAAGGTAGGAAACAGCTTAAGTTTTTATGTGACGCAGAAAGCAGTCCCTGGGGTCACGTGATGTTGGTGTTTACAGAAACACCACAGTTAATAAATAGGTATTTAGTACTATTGGTTACTTCCCGTGTGAATCTTGCCTCCTTGGAGACGAGAATGTGGTCATGGCTGGCATGTTTCAGAACAGGAGAAACAAAGGTGTCGGGAAGATGGCTCAGTGGTCGCGAGTACTGACTGCTCTTCCAGAGGCCCCAGGCTCAGTTTTCAGCACCCACACGGTGTCTCACAATCCTCTGTAACTCCAATTCCAGGGGATCCAGGTCCCTCACACAGACATGCAAGCAGGCAAAACTCCAATAAACCTAAAACTAAATACGTCTCAAAAAATTAGAAACTGTCTGGAAGTTCATATATCTTTGAGGGTTTCAGCATGTATTTATGGAGAACACAACAGCGTCTGCACAGTTGGGAAAGGTGACAAAAATGGGCGGTGTCTTGGCTCGGCTGTCTGTTGTATTGTGTTGGTGAGTTGGTGCAGTGTTAGAGTCTCCTTATCCTATGATGTCCTTTACAGACATCTCCCTCCTCTCTCTCTCTCTCTCTCTCTCTCTCTCTCTCTCTCTCTCTCTCTCTCTCTCCCTCCTCCCCCTTCTCCCTCTTTTCCCTCTTCCTCCCCCCTCTCTTTCTCTCTCTTTTGGTTTTTCAAGATAGGGTTTCTCTGTGTAGACATGGCTGTCCTGGAACTCTGTAGACCAGGCTGGTCTTGAACTCATGCAGATCCGCCTGCCTCTGCCTCTGTCTCTAGAGTGCGGGGACTAAAGGCGTGCGCCATCACAGCCTGAGAGTGTGGGGAATAAAGGCGTGCACCACCATAGCCTGGCCATCTCCTTTTCTGTGAACCCAGGCAGTGGCACAGGCTGCACTTGCTCAGGAGGTCTCTGACTTTGTGTGACCTGAAGCCTTTTTCCTCCTTCACACCTTCCTTCTGGTGTCGAGAAGGGAATTCCAGGCCTCCAGATTGATGGCCCAGGCTCTGCTGCTGAGCCCCAAACCACTACCTTGGCTTTTTTATTGTAAGAACTGAGACTGTACCTCTATTTGGGTTCTTCTTCTCTTTCCCCATGGTTTAATAGAAGACAATTTTTCTTTTCTATATTTTTTAAAGATTTATTTTTATTTGTGTGTGTGTGCGTGTGTATATACACCATGTGTGTGCCAAGTACCCAAGGAGGCCAGAAGAGAACTTAATATCCCCAGGAAGTGGAACTACCAGAAGTTGTGAGCCACCGTGTGGTTCTGGAAACAGAACATGTGCCCTCTGAGCGATGGTTAATCCCTAGATCTAAGGAGAAATTCCGCCAACCAAATCATCATGGCCAAGTTAATTAAAGCAAGCTTTATTATTCTTGTACATAGGCTGTCTCTCCTTAAAAGTGGGGTTCAAGAGATCAGCACTGGACATGTGAAAGATAAGGGGTTTTATAATTTAGGAGTAGGGGGCTCTCCAGATGAGACCGGGCACATTCAGGGTGGTATGGCTGTAGACAAGTAGGGAGACCGGGCACATTCAGGGTGGTATGGCTGTAGACAAGTAGGGAATTTCTGATAAGGGATTTGGCAGGCACACGGGTGGGGTTATAGAAGTGAATATAAGAATAATAAGCTGGCCATAACAATCCCTGAAACACAGACATGGTTGCAAGGTGATCAACTTTTTGAACCAAAGACGTGATTACATTCCTGGAAACATCTGTAGTTAAGGTTACAAGTGGAACACGGTCCAATCCTTGAGGGTTTTGTGTATGTTGTGTGTATATGTGCACACAAAATAACATGGTTACGCACAGTTGGATTTGAAAGAAGTTGCCTTTAGAACTGGAATTTTTCACATCTGAGTTTCCTAAGCCATGAGTTTTCACTGGCTCTGGGTCGTCCTCACGCACAGACACAGGCATGCGTATGCGGTATGTTCCAGGCGGTATTCAGAGATCCTTCCGTCCTCTGGGTCCAAGCGTCCTTAGTTCAGCACCGAGTTTTACTCTTTTCTCCCGCTGTTCTCTGACAACCGTGTTTCTGCAGTAACTTCCAGTCTTAGAAATGCTGGCTGTGACACCCCGTTCGCAGTGCGACGGAGATTAGCAACAATAATAGGCTTCTCACTTTTGGCTAAATGCTAGACTAGATTCTTACCTGCTCCGTATCCGCTTCCATGAGCGCCCTCTGAGGAACAATGAGGTACCTTCCTTCCCATCCTCATTCCTTCATCCACCAAGCAAGCTGATTCAGTGTCCACTACATTCTAGACACTGTACTTGAAATTAGCACTCCAGAGCTGAGCAAGTCAAAGAAGCTCCCACCCTTGAGGATCTTCTGTTCCTTTAGAGAGGTTTATGATGTACCTAGTGCAGAAATACAAGAGATGAGTAGCCGGGCAGTGGTGGTGCATGCCCTTTAACCTCAGCACTTGGGAGGCAGAGGCAGGTGGAACTCTGTGAGTTCAAGGCCAGTCTGGTCTACAAGAGCTAGTCCCAGGACAGTCCCCAAAGCTTCAGAGAAACCCTGTCTTGAACTCTCCCCCCAAAAGAGATGGGCATAAATTCTACAGTAAGAAGCATTGCTGGCAGAGAAGCCCACAGGCGACAATGGGATCTTCTGCAGGCTCCGGGCTCTGGTCTCTGCTGGGTAGTCTGCCTGGGGTTGGGGCCGGCACATCTCTGTTCAGGCCTCCCGTTTGCTCCCTCTTTTCCGTTGGACTGGATGCGAGGTTAGTTTGCAGACAGCAGTCCACATGGTCCAGGAGCTCTTTGTGGACAGTTTGTGGAAGCGTCGAGCTGTCTGATAGCCAGCTCTCAGAGGCAAGGCAGAGTGGCCGTTTTGGATTGGACCTGGGTCAGGAGTCTCAATGTATCCATTTAATAATCTGTGCAAAAAGTTAATAGAGCATATTTATTTAACCTGATTCTTACATCAGAACTTTGGTCAGCTTGATACAAATCTAGACATATCTGGGAAGAGAGAATTACAGTTGGGAAAATGCCTTCCTTAAGAGTGGCCTGTAGGCAAATATGGGGGTATTATCTTGAATAATGACGGCTGTGGAAGGGTCCAGCTCTCTGGCAGTGGGGCCACTCCTAGGTGAGTGAACAAGCCCTGGGGTAGCCTGGATCAAAACTGGTCTCGCTGAACATAGCGGACAAAGAGGACTACTGAGACCTCAAGAACAATGGCAACGGGTTTTTGATTCTACTGGACCTATTGGTTTCGTGGGAGCCTAGGCAGTTTCGTGGATGCTCACCTTACTAGACCTGGATGGGGGGGTGGGTGGTCCTTGGACTTCCCACAGGGCAGAGAACCCTGATTGCTTTTTGGGCTGATGAGGGAGGGGGACTTGATTGGGGGAGGGGGAGGGAAAGGGGAGGCGGCGGTGGGGAAGAGACAGAAATCTTTAATAAATAAATAAATAAATAAATTTAAAAAAAAATAAAAAAAAAAAAAAGAAAGCAAACTGAACAAGCCCTGGGAGCAAGGCAGTAAGCGGAGCCTCTCTGTGGTTTCTACTTCAGTTCCTGCCTTCAGGGTCCTCCCTAGAGTTTGTGCCCTGACTTTCCTCAGGGTCAAGTGAGACCTGAGATAATCCTCCCCCAAGTTGCTGTTGTTCCTGGTGTTTTATTGCAGCAACAGAAACCTAACTAAGACAACAGTAACTAGATTTAGAATAGCTGTCACCTTGTTCCCCGCTGTCTAGACATTGTGTGACTGACTGGTCAGTGTTAGTCAGGCATCACTGTCTTATCCACCTGCCGCAAACCCAAGACATGCAGGGCTCTTTTCTGCTATTTATCCTCCTGATTCAGAAGGCAGAGGCTGCAGTTATTTCTTCAAACAGAAAGTCTTACTTTCCACATCTTGATGGCGCGTCTTCATTGTCGATTTGACTGGATTTAGAATCGCCTGGGATATACATTTCCGGGACAGTCTGTCTGCCAGAATGTTTCCAGAGAGATTCAACTGAGGAGAGAAGAACCACCCTGAAGGTGGGGAGTGTTATCCCACAGGCTGGGGTCCCAGACTGAATAAAAAGGGAGAAAAGAGAAAGCTTCATTGAGCTGTGACTGGACACACAAGGTGCCCACTGCTGTGCCTTCCCAGACTGAATGAACCATCAGACCACAATGAGCCTTTCCTTCCTCAAATCGGTTTGTCAGACATTTTGTCACAGCAATAAAAAATAATAACCAGTTATGAGTTCTTAAAATCACTGGGTAGCATAGATTGGGGTACTAATGGAGGGGACAGCTGAACCCATCAAAGTTAAATTAGAAACAGTCTTCTAAGTCATTGAAACTGATGCTTTTATCACCGACCTGCGATGCTTGACTATGAATTTAGCTGTGAGCCACTGTATATCCAGGGTCTCCAAAGGAGGCACGCCCTCACCACCACTTGACCTAAGGCGCTCACCTGGCAGTCGGCGAGCGACGCTGTCCACGGCTCTGGACCGAACCACTGTATCCAGCCAGGTTACCGGGCTCTCCAAGGCTGACGTCTGCACGATCCCCCACCCATGCAAAGCTCTTGATTCCTGTAAGTTTTTCCCTGTCACGAGAACTAGGGTTTCCCATGGCACATGGCCCACCTGAAAGGATAAAGAAAGAAAAGCAAAGTGGGTACCTTTCAGCGGACCCCGCCAAGGTATGCTACTAAGCAAACACGCCACACGTGATGGAGTTAGTGCAAGAGGTTTATTGGATGAGGGGGAAAGTGAAAGCCCATGTCAGAGTGGGGACATTAGAGAGGCGGGGGGGACAGACAAACAGAACAGGAAAGAGACAAGGAAGAAGAGAGGCAAGAGAAGCAAGAGGAGAGAGAGCGGGCTGTGCCTGGTGGCACTTGTAAGGGGTGCGCGTAGCACACAGCCAAGGGTGGAAAGGCACCTGGCGACAGGTGATGTGGTAACTGACTGAGTAGGTGGCAGGGGTGGGGGAAGGGGGGCAGGCTGCTGCTGAGGCAGGAACTAACACCACCCACTCCAGGAAAGCAGTAGCTGATGCTCACACCTCCCAGGAAGCCCCTCACCTACCTTCTCCTCTGTGCTCATCTCCTGATTCAGAACTGGCAAGGCTCCATGCCAGCGTTGTGCTGAACAGTTCCTGTCCCCCGCCAAGGCAGACCTGAGGACAGAAGTCCTCCCTGGAGAGACTGTGACCCACAGAACCTCACTAAGGTCAACAAAAGAAGCAAGGCTAGAAGATCAAACTTCCCACCTTCATGGCCTTGTGAAGCTTCAAAGCGTGGAAAAAGAAAGTTCAAGGAGTTGGGCCCCTGAATGACATTTGGATTTCACCACAGTAAAACACAGGGCGTAGCCAGGAATTCCTCCGCAGACACCCAGGCTGTGTTTGTTTGTGGCCTCATGAACTTCCCAAGCCAAAGGGAAGGAGGAAAGGAGGGACAGGAACCAGTAAAGTGTAGGTGTCCCTATTCCCAGTGACATCCGTAGCTTCCTCTGCCATCCGCAACCACTACTGACTGCCTGCTGCAAACCTGGTCAGAAAATGAGGCCCCCTTCACAGATTGCCTTGTCCTTAGGGAAGTGTTCTCATCCAGAGAGGGGCAGACCAAAGGAGCATAAAAGATCTTCCCTTCCCGGTGAGAGAGGAGCCCCTTTTGTTTTTACAACACTTGAAAGGCAAAAGTGAAAGCCTTGGGCTCTGAAGGAGAGCCTCTGGGGCAGGCTTCACATGAACTGATTGCCAACTGCCCGCCGCCATTCGGCAGTCCTGGATCCTCTGTGGGAGGTATCCAGGGCCACCTCCCCAGCACACATCCCTTGTAGCTGCGGCGGCGAGATGGCCACAGTGTGGCCCCCTGGGAGATGCCGCCCATCACACCATATTAAAAGCAGTGATGTCGAGCCTCATTGTTTCGTGTTTTTAATCTCAGACACCAGTGCAGGAGCCCGAGATGTTTATTATAATTTTGCAGGCATCGCCAACAAAAGCTTCACTCATGAAGGAAAAATTAAATGTTAAGGCTGTGTGGATGATAGGGGAGGGTGAGCCGGAAGGCTGGGAAGGATAGAGAGGGGACGTGTCATTTCCCTTAGGAAAGGAAAACAGGGGTGAGCCATAAACATAGCTTCATTTTCAGGCTGGCAATTCTTACCATAATGTGTTTTGTCAGGCAAGTCCTCAGTACAGATTAACAGGAGTTGCCAAGTGAGTGAGTTCCACCTCTCGGTCGGGGAACAATGCGCAGTGTTTTGATGAACGTCAGTCAGTGACATTCACACTCTTGAATTCAGCCCTGGCAGCCAGGACCAAGGGCTGTGCAGTGCAGAGACCAGAGACATCGAGATGCCCGGGTGGGTGGCCTTCCAGGGTAATCAGGCGAAAAGCATGAAACACAATTTCCAACGGGCTGGGTCCCGGCAGGAGGGACAGGCAGGAGGGACGGATGGGTCTAATCTCAGTGGAAGGGGAGGAGCACCAGGTGCCCCTGGACCTTAGCAACTGTTACTCAATAGTTACACTTTTGACTCCATCCAGGCACAAACCAGACCTGGAAGCCTCCGCCTGCCCCACCCTCATGCCACACGCTGCCTTTGTGGGGTTCCTGCTGCCTTTGTGGGGTTTGAACTCAAAATTCCCAGACCCCGATAACTCTGGGAATTCAGTAAAGGCTGAAGCTGCAGCAGAGCTTGGTCTCTCCTTCCCAGTGACTGGCAGGTCACTTACCCCTCAGGTCCCACTCTTCAGCTTGACTGCAGGGACTTAGTGTTTGCTTATTCTCTTACTGTTTGAAAGAAGAGCTGTCACTGGGAATTGCTGACTAATTTTCTCATTGCACGGCTGAAAGTTAATGCCTGGATCCGTTAATCCTCAGGAGCGAAGCCTGACGGGCTGCCTGGGTGTCCTCCTCACAGCGGCAGTGTCCGTCTTCCTGGCTTATTGCGTTTTGCTGCTGTGCTCTCTGAATAACACCTTCTGTAGTATCGAGCCCAGCTTCTTAGACATTGAATAAGAGAGGGAATTCTCACAGGAAATCATGGATCAGGTGGGAAAAAAAATCCCTTTTTGTGACCAGAACAGAGGTCGCAAAGGTAAGAAGATTAAAACAAAGACTCTCTGGGTTCCCCTGTTCCCATTGGTGCCCTGTGTTCCTGCTCCCCCACATCATCTGTGGTCTTCCCAGCAGCCCTCCAAGGGACACGCTGTCCTCATTCTACACAGGAGGACACTGAGATGCATGCGCGGGGAGCTACAGAGCCAGGAAGTTAGCTTAAGCATCAGGCTTTTCACAGGGAGTCTGTCAGACACATGTACCTGTAACCACACAGCACATGGGATGCAGAGGCAGCTGACGCTGCATAGGTGGGCAGGTCATGAGTTTGAGACCAGCCCAGATTACATAGCAAGTCACTTTGTCAAAAGGTGGGGAGTTGGGTGCAGAGCTGGGGAGATAGCACAGATGGTAAAATGTTTCTCCCACAGCATAAAGACCTAAGTTCAATTCCCAGAAGCCACAGGGAAAATGGAGTACGGTGGTACTTACTTGTAATGCCAGCACTGGGGAGGCAAGAACCCTAGGGCTGACTGACTAGCCAATTAACTTAAGGAGCAAGCCCTAGGTCCTATTGAGAGACCCTCAAAAAACAAGGATAGTTCCTGAGGAATGGCACCCAAAGGTGTCCTCTCATCTCCACAGACATAGACACAGGCAGACGTACGCACGCACATGCACATACACACCCATATGCACATACACATATACACACAAAGTTTGTAATTACAATTTAGAAACTTATTTATCCTCATTGCCAAAAACTGAAAATAAAAATAAGGTTACTACCAATTGGGGAGGAAGTGCCCCTTGTACTTGCACACCAATACTGAGTTTTTAGGTGTTTTAGTCTCGTGTGTTCTGGTCAGTAACTATCCTTAAAGTCTAAGATGATTTCCAAGAGCGCAGTCCACCGCAGATGGCTGCTTTGTACATTTGGAACTGGTGTTCTGCCGGGGAGGGGCTGCTAGGAAGGAACCTTCTGCAGCTGTGTCTGAGCCAGAGCCTGCCCACTCTCCCTACTGTGCTGGGGTCCACTGCTGCAGGCTCACCATCTGGGGTCTCGAAGCCAGGCACCCCGGCTGGCCCTCCTACTGCCAGAAGCACATGCAGGGGCTGGGGTGTATCTGTTTTCTCACTCCCAAACTAGGGCGAGGATTCCATCTCACTCCACGACTTAGTTAGGGTTTTGTTTTCTGCTTTTGGAAACAGGGTTTCTCTGTGTAACAGACCTGGCTGTCCTGGAACGTGATCAGGCAAGCCTCGAACTCACAGAGATCCATCTGCCTCTGCCTCCTGAGTGCTGGGATTACAAGTGTGTGTCACCACGCGCGGCCTTAGGGTTTCTGTTGGGGAGGAAAGGGTTTATTCAGTTCACACTTCAGCAATGCTGTTCATCATGAAGGAGGTCAGGATAGGAACTCAAACAGAGCAGGGACCTGAAGGCTGGAGCTGATGCAGAGACCATGGAAGGGTGATCTTACCACCTTGTTTGGCCTGCTTCTTACAGAACCCAGGACCACCAGCCCAAGGATGGCACCACCCACAATGGGCTGGGACCTACCCTGCCAATCACTAAGAAAATGCCTCACCGCTGGATCTTAGGAGGCATTTTCTCTATGGCGGTTCCCTCCTTTCAGATAACTCTAGCTTTGTCGAGCACACCAGATGACTACACCAGGTGACTACAGTGTTAGGAGCGGAGGTGTGTATGAGCAGTGGGGCTTGTGGTGTTTTCTAGAACCTCCAGCCTCTAGAACATCCAAGGCCCAGTGCCTCTGTCCCTCCTCAGCAGCCCTAAACCAGGTTAGTGCTGATTTCTTGAGGCTGTGTCTCCAGTGTTTGGAACAGGAAGGTTGCGTGAACATTATCTCTTAGGTCCCAGCCCATGAAGACTAATTCAGAAAAGCACTGGGTTGGCCCAGAGAGCAGGAGGGAATGGCCTTGGTCTCCTGGGTTCAGTCAGCACACTGATGGACTACCTCAGGCTCCTGGGTCTAGTAAAAGAACTCCCGATCCCTGCTTCCCGAGCCCTGCTTCCCGAGCCCTGCTTCGGGCTACTTCCTCCCCAGTCTGCGGGTCAGATTCTTCAGTTTCGAAATCAAGCTTACACCTCTGGCAAGACACTAAAACAGAAGCAAATATTTGTGAGAGACTTTCAGTTCCTGGGAACTGTTACCGCTGGCAGAAATGTCAGGGGTCCCTGGAAAGGCAGAAGAATTAGGGTCTGAGAGCCTTAACTCAGCCTTAAGGGGAGAAGATATCTGCACCCCCAGGGCACAGGGGTGCAGAGTAGCTGAAGCGGGACTCCAGGCTCTGCTTCCAAATTTTCTTGGCACAGCGTATATGGAATGTCCTGAGAATACATTTGTGCAGTGGATTTGTCATAAGCACCCGACAAGTCCACTTCTTTAGTCTGTCTCCACAGCAGGCCTAGGGGGTGTCTCCTACACCCGTTCCAGGTGATGTGTGGCTGAGGAGAGCAAAAGCCTCAAAGCAGAGTGTCGGGTGGCTGGGCACCAGGTGAGGGGTCTGCCATTGATAGTGATTGCTGCGATGAAACACCAGGACCAAAGAGCAGGTTGGGGAAGAAAGGGTTTATTGGGCTTACACTTCAGCATTGCTATTCATCACTGAAGGAAGTCAGGACAGGAACTAAACAGGGCAGGATCCTGGAGGCAGGAGCTGATGCAGAGGCCATGGAGAGGGGCTGCTTGCTCAGCCCACCTTCTTATAAAACCCAGGACCAGCAGCCCAGGGATGGCACCACCCACCATGGGCTGGGCCCTCCCCTGTTGGTAACTAAATGAGAAAATGCCTTATAGCTGGATCTCAAGGAGCCATTTCCCTAGGTGAGGCTCCTTTCTCTGATGGTCTTAGCTTGTGTCAAGCTGACACACAAAACCATCCAGTACATCCAAAGGGATGAAGGGTCACAGGGAGGCAGAGGTGAGAGGCAAGCTCTCGGCTGCTGGCTACTGGGTATGAGGTAGTGTGGTGGCCAATGGCCTCCAAAATGTGTTCTCAATGTTAGCAGCATTGGTTGTATAACACTGTCCATTGCTTCACCCTGAGAGCCTTAATCTGTGCACCCCTCAACTTGAGGCCACCTTTCTGATGCTGCCTCCAAGCACTAGGACTCACAGGTGTTCCCCTGCCACACCCAGCTGTCTGCCCAAGCTTTGATATCAGACTAAAGCGTTTCCAAGAATGTGGTGGATCCCATGAAATAATGGGCCCCATGCCCAGAGGCGTTACTCTTGAGTGGTTGTTGGAGTGTGAACCACCCCCAGGGCTTGTCCAACACAGTCGTCTTAGGAACAACTCACTGTGTTGTTAGGGCTTATTTCTGTGGGGACAAGGACAGTGGTGTGAGCTCGCAGCCTTGCTTTTTGACTGTGGTAAATGAAAGTGGCTATAAACCTTTACTTACCTCACTTCTCCTACAGCCAAGCAGGGAGACTCGGTTAATTGCAAAGTCTGTCTTGCTGGCCTTTCCTCCACCCCAGGTACTTGGGTCTCTTCGGGTGCCCCCTGAGGACCCCTGAAGTACAGCATGTCCACCCAAAGCCCCTGTTGACTTAGTCTAGTGAAACTCTGTGAAGGAGTTGCTTTGCTCTCCTTCCTGTTGTGACTGCACTGTAGCCGTAAAGAAATAGTGCCAGCCGTGATCAGAGGATGCTTTGAGGGAATAGGGAAGATGCTTGTGATATAGGAACAGCCCCTTCCAGCCTGTGATTGTCATAACGACTGACAGAATGCCCCCGGGAACGCTTGCTTCAACCTCTTCCGCTTCAGTCCCCCTGTCTACAAAATG